CCCTGCTGTTACACCGGGTCTCCCTGCAGTGGCAGCGTGTGCCAGGGCAAGTGCTTGCCCCTGCGTGGAGCTCAGTGGAAGAGAAGCTCCCTCCTGCTCCGCTTTATTTAACCCTGACCTGGTTTGAGGGGGACCAGAGCAGGCGTGTGGCCCTTGGCATGGTGTGGCCATGCTGGAGGGGGCCCTGGGAGCCCGGCTGCATCACTGTTGGGCGGACGGGCTGTTTGCTGCCCCTGAGACTGTGACAGGAGGCGATTCCCCTGTGCTGAGCCCCTGCCTTGGGGCAGTGAAGGGGGTCTTGGTGCTGATGCCCTGGGACCAAGGGCCACCCCTCTCAGCCTGCTGCTGCTTCACCCTGTGTTTTCCTTGCCAGGTCTCGTTATCCCACACATCCTGCAAGTCTCAGTCTTGTGGGGGTGGCTCCCAATCCTCTTCCTCCTCCTCCTCCTCTTCTTCCTCCTCGTGCCACGGGAACTCAGGGGACTGGGACCCCAGCTCTTTCTTGTCTGCTCACAAGCTCTCGGGCCTCTGGAACTCACAGCACACCAATGGGGCCACCCAGGGCAGCCCCCTCGGTCCCCCCCCTGCTGCACTAGGTGAGTTGAAGCCAGCCGTGGGGTTGAGCAGAGCTTTCTGCACAGTCCTTGGCTTAGATGGTTTCCTTGCAGGCACCCAGGTGGTGGGCAGGGGTAGGCAGCTGGGCCTCTGAATGCCAGTGCCAACGGGATGCCTGGGTCTCTGCAAAGGCAGAGGGTGCTGGGAGCTGTCCCTAGCTCTACTTTCCTTTCAGGTGACAAGCACCCCGGCCTCGCTCTCTCTCCCGAGTGTGCCAGCCAGGCGCCTGCCGTGGTGCCGGGGCTCAAGGCCTGTCCCTACAGCCACGCAGCCTCCCCCGCGGCCAGCAGCGCCGCCCCGGGCTCATCTCTGCCTACCTCACTCGACTTCTGCAAGACGCTGCCGAAGCAGTTCAAAAGCATGTGCCGGAGGGCCACCCCGCCAGGTGTGTGGCCAGGGGCTGGCCTTCTCCTCCCACCCACTGCTCCACACATCCCTCGCTGCCCCAGCGCCTTCCCCTTGCTCTGCTCTTCATGGGGCAGGGCCAAATCCTGCTGGGTAGACGTGGGGCTGCCGAGGCCCTCTGCGAGCAGGGATGGCTTCTACCCAAGTGCCCTGCCGCCTGGGGTGGGGCAGGGTTTGACCCACGGAGAAGTGGCCTGTGCAGAGGTTGGGGGTGGCCCCAAGCTTGTCCCTAGCCCGTGCGGGACAGCTGATGTCTGACTGTCTCTGCTCTTACCCCTCCGCAGGTGAGGCCTTCCACTCCTCAGAGCATCATCAGCACTCAGACCTCACTGCTCCTCCCAACAGTCCCACCGGCCTCCCCTCCCAGCCGCCAGCACTGATCCCCTCCAAGCAGACACCTGCCCACCCGGGGCCCTTTGGCTCCCCGCCCCACGTCCCGCTGGGCACGTCCCCGCAGGCTGCGCTCTTCCCTGCACCCAGCGCGCAGGCAGCAGCCCCGAAGCCAGTGCCTGAGTCCCCTCCTGCTGGCACGGTCTCGCACAGCCCGGGGTCGTGTAAGAGCCCTCACCTGCCCCCTGCCAACGTGCCGCTGCTGAAGATGCCGCCTCCGCTGTCGGGCTGCGCTCATCCCTGCAACGGGCATTGCAGTACTTCACTCATCCCTCCTCCTGCCTCCCACCAGCTAACCAGCACAAACAGGTGAGTAGAGGAGCCCTGCCTGCTTCCAGCCTCTCTCCTTGCTGGGCGACGTGCCCTTTCTCCCACCTCTGCCCACGGACACACTTTTCCCTGCGGAGGGACCTGCTGCCCTGGCGTGGTGGTGCAGAGAGCCGCCTTCTTTGTGGGCAGGTCTGCTGTTGCAGACCCCTGGTCTCTGAGGGTTGAGCTCTTTCTCTCCCCACGTGTCTTCTCCCTGCGGTTGTCCTTTAGTACTGTGGTGCAGAAGAGACTGTGCTTGCTCCTCCTCCAGCTAAAAGACCCAAAGGAACCGCCCGGTCAACCTGCTGTTGGCCAACAGGACCTTTGTCAGTGAGACCCATCGGGCAGCTGTGGCACTGAGCAAAGGTCCTCGAGAAGATGAAGCCTGTGGACTTGTGGTTCTCCTCGCCTGCTCCCCTGGCCCTCTCCGGGCTGCCCGTGCCCTGGAAGAGAGCATGCTGAGCCATGGGCGCTGGGTCCTCTCCGCTGATTAGCGTTCCCTGCGGAGAGCCAGCCAGGTCCCGAGCCGCAGCTTGAGGAATGGTGCTGTGGGCCATGCCCGGGCCTCCCTGTGTCTGAGCTGGGTGGTCTGTGCCGGTGGGAGCCGGGCCTGCCTGCCCGTGGGGATGTCTGGCAGCTGCATGCAGTTCCAGCGTTTCTCACCTGTGCTACCTGCCGCCCCCAGTGAGTACCGCTCCCTGCCCTGGAATCAGCTTGTGGCCTGGCAGGGGGACACTGCTTTTTGGAGCTCTGGTGCGCCAGCCTCCTGCCTGCCAGAGGCTGGGTGGTCTGTGCCGGTGGGAGCCGGGCCTGCCTGCCCGTGGGGATGTCTGGCAGCTGCATGCAGTTCCAGCGTTTCTCACCTGTGCTACCTGCCGCCCCCAGTGAGTACCGCTCCCTGCCCTGGAATCAGCTTGTGGCCTGGCAGGGGGACACTGCTTTTTGGAGCTCTGGTGCGCCAGCCTCCTGCCTGCCAGAGGCCCTTGGGGGCGAGAAGCTACAGATGTCTTCTGCCGTGGGCTCCTCCAGCATCTCCCCCAGAGGAGGAGGATGCAGGGGAGGGGGTTTGTCTGCCCCACGATTCTTTCTGCTCGGGCACAGGCTGCCCTGGGAGGGGTGTTCCTACATGCGTAGTGTGGGGCAGTTTTTGAGGCACCCCTGGCTCCCGCTCACCTCTCACCCTTCTCCCCTTCTCTTCAGGGACCCCTCTTGCAAAGGGCACAAATTCCCAAACGGTACCAGCTGCCACCCGCCGCAGCCGTGCGAGGCAGACGAGGGGCTCGGTGAGGATGAGGACAGCAGCTCGGAACGCAGTTCTTGCACCTCCTCCTCCACCAACCAGAAAGATGGGAAGTTCTGCGACTGCTGCTACTGTGAGTTCTTCGGCCACAACGCGGTGAGTGAGGGGCTGCTCTGCAGCCACCCCCGGTCCTTGTGCTCTGTGGTGAGATGTTACACAGTCC